TTAAATCCCTGCCTGGCAGAAGTGCTTTTTTTTTTTTTGGTATTGGGGATTGAACTCGGGTCTTTGCGCTTGCAAGGCAGGCCACCAAACCGCTGAGCTAAATCCCCAGCCCAAGAAGTGCTTTTAATCAGCTTCATCCCTCGATGGGCTGCTACAGCCATCAGGACAACCCTGGGTCAGTGAAGCCTCCAGCCACCACCCGGCCACCCCACTCTGGCCCTGCGGAGCCCCACGTAGTGGAAAACCAGCTAAGCACACAGGGCCACCCTGGGTCCTCTCTCAGTCCCTGGAGCCACGTGACCTTTTGACACTGTCGCCCCTTCTTTTTTGGGGGGGTACTGGGGATTGAACTCCGGTCCTTGAGCTTGCGAGGCAGGTGCCAGAACCACTGAGCGAAATCCCCAGCCCTGTCACCCGTTCTTTCAGCCGCCAGGAGGGGAGGGCATGCAGGAACTCAGCCACAGGCTGCAGCCCGGCTGTGTGCGGTGCCTGACCCCACTGGGGAACAGCAGAGCACTCCCAGGCGGTCGGGGGTGCAGGGGGCGCTGTGTCCTTCGGGGAGCCGTGAGGGCAGGCCTGTGGGGAAGCTTCCTCCACTCACACAGAACTGAGTGCCCCGCAGAGGGGCCGGGCTGCTGGGGAGCGGATGCTACCCACGGTGACCCGAGCTGCTGACAGCAGGCGCCAGCCCTGCTGGAGAGAGAGAGCTCGGTGGCACTTGGCCCTGAGTGACCCTTCTGTCGGAGCACAGCGTCCGCTGTTGTGGAAGGAGCTGGACAGAGGTGTGGGGGAAGAATAGCAAGGGAGGACCGAGGGAGAGAGGGAGAATAAGTGAGAATATTTTCACGTGCACTTAAAATTACTTAGGGCTCCAGGCCCAGTTTACCACGTCTTCCTGTTCAGAACTCAGGGAGACGTTGTTTCTTACATGACAGCAAATAGCTTGGCATTTATATTCTTAAAACCAGTAAGAAACACAGTATGCAGCTAACTCTATGTCATGCCATTAGCATGGATATACTCCAAAACGTTAGTCATGCTTGTATCGTGGAGGCAGAAATCCAGGAGTCTGCCCATTTTTGAAGGAATTTGACCGCCACATCCTGGGCTGAGCAGAGGCCGCTGTAAGCCTCTTCCATCCCTTTAGGCTTTCACACCTGCTAACCATGTATAATCACAGGTTAAGCAGGCCAGGCGACCACGGGCGACCACGGCTTCCCCTGTAACTCCCATCACATCCAGCCCGGCTCCCCGGGTCACCACACCCTGCATTTCTCCAGCTTCATCTCTAGCAGTAACCGCAGCCCCTCTTCACTCAACTCTTCCCTTCACCGCAGCCCCCTTATGCTCCCAACCCCATAAAAGACCTCAGAGCCTGTAGGAGATGCCACCCTGGTCCTCACACCCGCGGTCCTCTCAGGTTGCCCTTAATAAACCTGCCCTGTCTGTTGAGCTCAGGTCTTTGTTCCTCCTTTTTCCCAACAATCTGGTAAAACTCTCCTCCTTCTTTTTGTTTCTAATTTTCAATAGCTTTTCAGATCCTTGTATTTTTTTAAAGCACTACAAAAAAATCTTTTAAAATGGATGCATGGTTCTGCCATCTGCCTCACAAGCGCAAGAACCCCTGTTCATCCCTGGTACCAAAAAAAAAAAAAAAAAAAAAAAAAAAAGGATGCAAGCGGACTGTGGTGGCATATGTCTATGATCCCAGCACTCGGGAGACTAAGACAGGATTGCCTCCAGTTGGAGGCCAGCTTGGGCTATATAGTGAATTCAAGGCCAGCCTTAAATACATAGTGAGACCCTGACTCAAAAAACAAAAAACAAAGCAAAACAAAAAAAAACGAACCAACCAACAAAAAAGGGTTACATACACAACTTGTAATGTACAGTGTGGAAAGACTTTGAAAGTCTATTGTTTCAACACTCTATTTGCAGACCGGGGAAATAACAAGAGTTGGGTGACTGGATGGCAGGAAAATAACGGCTCAGGCTCTGGATTAAATCCTAACGGTCGTCCTCCAGGAAGCCACGCCCCTTTCTAGAATGTTCCCTGGCTAGGGGCCTCTCCCCCCACATTCTTCCTGTCCCGTTCATTCTTGGGTTAGGGTTCTCCGGGGTAAGATCGTCCCTACCCAACCTCTTTTCCCGTCTCTGGTGTGAGCCAATACCAGTGATGATTTGTTCACTTATCCTGTATTAGACTAGAAGCCAGGGCTCAGGCCTTATTGTTTGGCTCAAGAGCAGGCGAAGGTTTGCCAGTCGATCTTTTTTTTCCGGTATCGGGAATTGAACTCAGGACCTTGCGTGGCAAGGCAGGCACGGCGCCAACGAGCTAAATGCAGGGCCTTTGCCAGTCGATTATTTTACTTTTTTTGGTACCGGGGGTTATTTTACTTTGGATTCTTTTTTCTTCTCTTTGGTATTAGGATTGAACTCGGGACCTTCACACTGAACTACCTCGCCAGCCTGTTTAAATTTATTCATTTTTCTTTTTTTTTTTTTTTGAAATTTGAGAGGGGGCGTGGCTCAGTCTTTAAATCGCCCTGGCGGGTCTTGGCGATCGCTCTGCCTCAGCCTTCCAGGGCTGAGATTCCAGGCGTGCATCCCCGCGCTCGCCGGTTTTACTCTGCGATACGGCGCTGCATGCACTGTCAACCTAACATTTTTTTCCTCTTATACAAAGTGTGTGTATGTTTACAGGCCGTCGTATCTCAGGTTTGGCGCACACCTGGCCGGGATCCCCGGGCGTGGAAAAGGGAAGAAGCGCAGGAACGACAGGAGGTAGGCGCGGCGCGAGAAGAGCCCGGACGAAGCCCGCTGTGCTTGTGTCCGCTATTAGACTTATTTCCTGGGTTAAAACTGGTTCGGCAGCCGTCCGCGACCCCACTCTGCCCGCGCGGATCGCCCCGTCCGGCGGCCCGGCT